TTCCCGCTGTCATTGGGAACTGGGACCGAGAGAGCATTAAGGTCAGTGTCGGGCCAGCAATCCCACAAGCCCAGCCCAGGCCCGAGGTCCTTGACTGGGAGCCTGGGCACCGCCTGGCCGAGAGGAGCAGATGCCAGCTATGTACGCTGCTGGCTGAAGGCTCTTCGGCTTTTCTGTGCATCTCATCCCTCTTCCTGAGCCTGACCTCTAAGAGCCCTGCACTCAGCTAACCATCGGCCACTCCCAGGTCCTCCTGAAGCTGCCATACTCTTTGAGCAGGGGTCTCACATCCCCAGGATGTATTTGTCTGTCTCTGTCCATCTGCCTGTCTCCTTCCCCACACGACCTTCTTGGCACAATGCCCTTTGGAAAATTGACATTGCTTCCAGATGGAAGCAGAACACGGGAAGGGAATTAGATTCCTTTTTATGGCACTGGAAATGCTAGGAAAGAGCAGAATCCGAGGTAACCTTGGTGAACCGGGGGAAATAAAGGGCCCATCTAATTTTTTTTTAATGATAGTGCTCCATGCTGGTAGAGCCGTGGTGGGAGGCAAGGGGCAGCCCACACACACTGTTCGTGGAATGTCATTCAGTAGAGTCTTTCTGAAAAGCTGTTTGCTAGGCTGTATCAAGACCCTTTTGAAAAAAACGCCTAGCCTTTGACCCACTAATTTAACTTCCAGGAATTTATGCTAAGGAAACAATTGGAGACAGGCAATGGTCCTCAGTAAGGATGTGAGTTATAGCACTATTTATAATGGCTAAAGGGGGATAATCTGAGTGTACACAATAAGAGAATAGTTACATAAATCAGAGTATACCCTACAATAGAATACCCTGTAACCGTTTTAAAAATATATCAAAGTCTTTTTAATGATATTGGAAAATGCTTTATTAAGTAAAAAAAGGCTACTAACTCTGTTTGTAGTATTATCATGTACCCCACCCTCCCCGAAAAAGGAAGAGGAAATATGCCAAGATGTTAACAGTGATTATCAGTGGAATAAATTATGTGTGCATTTATTACTTTTGTTGCTTTTGAGTATTTTCCAATTTCCTACAAGACAATCTGAAATTTTGAGTATCAGAATTTATATAAAAAAAACCAACATTAGCTTTCTTCTTAAAGGTGAGCTTACTGCTCATCTTATAGCAACTCAGGCTGTGACTCCTGTGCTGTGGAGACCAGAGAGGGACTGCCACGTTCACGATCAGATTGGGAGGCTGTGGGCAGCCCTGTCTGTCCACAGCACGACAGGCATGCCCTGGCTGGTACAGCAGACGTTCCATCATTCAAGTGAGTCACCACAGAAGGTGTCAAGCTTACGATATTGCTACACACTGTACTTGAACTATCAGCCACAACCCAGCGTGCTGCCAGGCCTCTGAGCCTTATCTTCCTAAACCGTTATTTCTTCCCTGTCCAGTGAATGTCAGAGGGACTGACTGGGATTGTCTGACTCCTTCTGAGGACACTGTAGACCAGGAAACCAAAGCTGATGCCAGACTTCCCCTTAAATCCAAGGCAGACGCGCAAATGTTCCCTCCATGCTAAAGTTTAAGCTGTTGTTGCTGTCATTGGGCCTGCATGCGGGGGCCTGGGGGAACCCCAGGAATATTTAGGGTTAAAAAAAAGTGCTGGAGTGTTCATCTGAGATACTCCCAAGCTGTACGCTGAGGGCTGCAGAGAGGCCTTCAGGGGTCATCTGCTAAGATTGTAATTTTAAAATTATTTTCTCCTATCCTGTTATCTTTGGCCTCATTAGTGGGAAACGAGTTTTGAGAATTCAATATTGGAGGCTTCCGAGCCAATAGGAAAGTTGACCATTTTTTTTTGTTTGGCTGTTTTGTTTTGGACTTTTTAGGGGTGCTGTTGTTTAACCTCTAACCAGACACTTCTGGAGGGAAATGGATAATAGAACATTATACAAAGAGTCTTGGGCTGTTATCATCCGTATGCACCTTATTTCCCAACTATGTCTTCTCTGAGTTGCATCAACACTAAAATATAATGTGCTCTCTGTTCTTGGAGGAACATTTCTATGTTTAGGGTCATTCAGCTGCCACAGGCCTCCATCACGGGAGTAAATAAAAGTGTTCAATGGTATTGTTGATAGTGAGCTTCCTTGACATGACTCTGAAGCACAAATAAACAAAAGGCGTAATTCTATCAGTAGTTTAAGAAATCATAGAAGTACCGTGGGGTATGCCTTTTATTGTTACTACTAAAACATGGTGGTCATAAATTTTAAACTGCGGTCCTTTTATAGCAAATAAATGTTATTGCTCTGACTAAAACACAAGCAAACAAATGAAATTCTACTAGTTGTTAAAAATTGCAGTTAATACTGTGGCCATTGACATGGGGATTGAAGAGTAAGTTCCTATAGCTGTTATGAATACCCTGCATTCTCACCGCACCCCCGGATCATTTCAGCCATGTGCTACTGGCCAAGAACCACTTCGATATCCAAGGACGTGAGAAAACATTCAAAACCCACACTGTGTTCACACACTATGTTCCCAACTGGGCCTTAGCTAAAGGCATAATTCTTGGTACAGATGAAATAGGAAACTGGAGGTGTTTCCTACTTATAAAAGCCACTAAAAAAAAAAAATCCTCAAAAAAATGTCCTAAGGACTTTTAAATTGTCCTGTGCTAACCACTGACTAGAAGAACAGCTTAGTCCAGGCCTCAGGGCCTGGGCTGCTCTCTTGAACCTCCAAGCTGCCCCTTGTCAGAACTCGGGTTCCTGGGCTGGGCTGCACTCTGGAAGTCGTCCGCCGGTCACTGGTGCCTGCTAGGTCATTATCTTGCGGGGCGCGTTGTGGTTGGAGGACTGAGGAAGCCTTTTTTACCAGCTGCAACTGCAGAAGAAATGAGGCAGCACTTTCTCCCAGGACTGGAGACAAAGTCAAGTGGGAGCAAATACAAAACTAATAATAGAGTAACTTATCCCTCAGCGGGTGAATCTTACTATCTTCTGTTACCGTTGTTTTTTTATCTGTCCCTTCTGGTCAAATACATTGTAAGCTCTTGAAGGTAGGAATTTTGGCAAAGGCTAAATCGTAGTCTACCAGTTGTCCTCATCATACGAGGTGTCCAATGTCTAGTCTTTGGGGGATTCATGAGAAAAAAGAAGAAGAAAGCCATGCTCTTTGAATGGAATCTCTTCTACTGTATGGGATGGATTCTGTCTGCTGGGTGAAGCTACCAGACAGAAGACTGGAGGCAGGCTTGGGGACTTGTTGCACTTTACAGTGTGTTGGGTCTTATTGAGCCTGTCTGTTGCTGCATTCCTATTTTCCTTTGCAAATGTGCTAGGCATCTAAAGAAAATCATAAATCAGTGGTTAAGAGGCTTCTAGTGCTATGGCTGGATCTGTGAAGACGCTTGGCACATCGAGGACAGAGCAAGTCCTGCTACCCCAGAGGTGGTCCACTGTGGCAGCAAGAGCCCTGGGCTTGGGGCCAGAGACTGGGGGTCCAAACCTCAGGCTTGTCACTCACAGGCTGTATGTCTTCAGGCAAGCTTTTCAAGTTTCCACATCTGTGAAATGGGAACTATAATTGGTGCCTCTTGGCTTGTTGGATGGGTTAAATGAGATTCATTGATTCACTTAGTAATTATTCATTGAATACCTACAGGCACTATTTTAGGACTTGGAGATAACAGCCATAAACAAAATGGACACTGCCTCGTGGAACTTATATTCTAGAAATATAATGCACTTAAACGGCATTTAAGAAATGTTTCATTCAGTTAGCCTGAGGATATCTGATGAACTCACAGAATGGGTTTTTACTGTATATTGCCATAGGAATTTATGGCACAACCACAGGTAATTGGGGCCATAATTGGGCCTCGTGTTTGAACTGCGAATGTCCCATCAAGTAGGACATTTATGCGTTCTTGCTAAAGCCCACTGTGTTTAGAAAGGCTGGCCCCTGGATTGAATTGCTGTCATTTCACCTCTGTAAAGTGCTTGGACCGAACAGTCCAGCCATCGGCGGAGGTGTTGTGGCCAAGTGGTTCCCACATTGTTTTCTTAGTCATTAGTTTGCACTGTCTGTGACTTAATATGATTTTATAGAGCTGCTAAGATGTTTGTTTATTTGTGTAATTTGTGGAAATAAGTCAAAGCGCTAGCATGACCAATTAAAATCAAACCACATTTTAGTGAGTAATTGCAACCTTTCCTCTCCAAACTTTTGATCAGCCACCCAAGAACAAAATGACAGATTTAAGGTTTCCATTCCTCCTTTTTTTTTTTTTCACGGCTTCCCCTCTGGAGGTTTTTCTTTGAGCATCAGAAATGCCCAGAATCCATGAAAAGAGAAAGAACAGGCCTGGAAAGCAAACCTCAGAGGAACTGCACGTTTCCCGTAATTGCAAGCCCTTGCCCAAGAGGTGTGTGTGCAGACCCGTCCTCCTTCCGCTATCATTTTTCTAATGCAGTAGTTCTCTGGGTCTCCAATGGGCACACAGCCCATTTAGTTAAAAACGTAAACAGGAAATTGTTTTCTGGCTGAATGGCCTATGTGGCCCAGAAAAATGGTCATTTTTGCTGAGACACAACTTTAAAAACACTCACGCAGCAGTGGAAGCTAAAAGCTGGCTATAAGCTCGCCCTGCCCCACACAGAGGCTGGCGATGGGATATGGGTGTGGGAACGCCTGTACATGGGATCAGGGCCTTTTTCACTGATGGCCACAGGCACACTGGACACTATGGAAGAAGCTCCTGTCACATAGAAAGCAGTTGTTCTGCAGGGAAAAGACGCATTGATGATCCAAGGAATTACAGAACAGGCCTTACTTGGAAGACACGGAGGTTTGGTCTGGAGAAATGTGATTTGGTGCTGACGACACACCCTGGGATTCGGTGCTTCCCTAGTCCGCTCCGGCTCTCCATCACCTGGCTTTCCATGAACCTCCCATGCTCCTGTTGTGGTTTCCCTGTGTGATGATGAGTTTTCTGGTTGTTATGTCTTGCAGCCCCCCGAATCCAAGCCCAACTTCACCCCTCTCGCCTTCTTGGCCCATGTTCTCGGCGCCATCCAGCCCTATGCCCACCTCATCCACGTCCAGCGACTCATCCCCCATCAGGTCTGTTGCAGGGTTTGTTGGTTTTCTGTTGCTGCCGTTGTTCTCATTGGCTTGGTCCTCTCTTCATGCAGTGTTCAGCCTCCTCGTCAAATTTGTTCCCTGCCATCCAAACCTGCACTTGCTTTTTGACAGGCCAGAAGAAACGGTTCGTGAAGACTCCAGGTAAAATCAGGGATGATGACCAGCCCGACCCGCTTTATCCAAAGCTGGTCAGGGACCATGGCAGGCCAGCCTCTGCCCTCCTGCAATTTCAGCCTGAGATCTAAAGCTGGGAGGGACCATTTGCATGAACCAGCAAGGCATCTTCCACGCCTTCCTGAACCCTTCCTTCGGTTCCTGAACTAATATCCTGTGATGCCTGGAGTTTGGGGAAAGAGTACCTCCTGAACGGGCTCCTGTTTGGCTCACTCTCTGAATCATGGGGCTCTCTGTGCCTTGGTCTAAGATAATAGGTCTAAGATAATATCAGAAGGAACAGTGCCGAGACACATATGGGCCTTTTCTTCCCTCTTTTTTTTTTTTTATCAGGTAGCATCAGGCAACGTTTATTTGTGGGGTTGGGCTATCGGCCATGAGCACTGACACCTAGTTGCCGAGAACAGACCACTGGGAGAGAGACGAATGTAACACAGAGAGACAGAGCGATTTCTCTTTAAATTATTCATGGCTGCCTCTTTCCCTCCATGTCCTCCTCCCAGGAATCGCCAGTGCTCCCAGCCTGCCTCTACCGCCATGTGTCGTGAACCCTTAGCTCTCATGGGAACAGGCAGCACCTCTTTCTGAGGGCTGACCTATTTCCTCTGCCTAAGGGCCATGATAGAGATTTCCTGCTTTGATGATGTGCAAACGTAATTCTTTGCACTTGAGTTCTTTGGAGAAAAGCAGCTGTTTAAATCCAGGAAAAGAATTAATTAATAAAAACCCTGCAGAATCCCTGTGCTATTAGGTCCTGAGCACGTGTGTCTCTCAAAACTTAGTCTCTGCTTTCAGATAATCAAAATGTAGAGCCCAATTATAAGTATCATAAGCATTTGGGGCCGTGGCAGTATTTTCTCACCCATCTTTTCCTCATAACTGGTTTTTTCCTAAGGGGTGGGTCCAGCAGAGAGGCTTAAATAATTCACGAAGCTGAGTCTCACTTTTAAAAAAAGAAAACCCCATGCTATTTATATACAGATATAAATATTACTTTATTCTCCTCCAGGCACTTTTATATCTATCATTTCATTCCATCCTTATATGAGAATGAGAGGAGAAATGGCCTAAACCCTATTATAGAGAAAAACTAAGGCACAGAGAGGTGACTTGTACGCAGTCACATGACCAGGTGAGAGCCAATCCAGAATTCAGGACTTCTTGTCCCCAACCCAGCACTCTTTCCTCCAAACATATGGGTGGCCCCAAATTCAAGTGTCCACACAACTTGCAGCCCCAGAGCCTGGCCTGCTCGTCTATGTTTTCTGTCCAGCTATGTTCTGGAATATGGGGGAAATAGCTTTCCAGTGTATTCTTTTATCTTCACCCTGGGAATAAGGTAAAAATGCAGATCATATTTTCCTGACAAATTCTTTCCTAATTTTTCTTAGACATATTCTGGGTGCTTTGGGAGATGTTAACTTTCTGGGACACTAGAAATGGCATGGATTTTTCTGTTTAGATCACCGATTGTCCCATCAGGACCTGAACCAGAGCAAACTATTGACCATAGACAGTCACTTTCCAAAATGCCTCACTCGCTCATAGCAGAGACTTGGTCATTAGAAGAATGCAGTTCTTCATTTTGATCAAAAGGGGGTAAATTCTTCAAAACATTGTCCCCTTGGACAAAGTGGGTTAGGGGACTCAGATTAGGAGAATCACGCAGCCAAAAACCTGAAATGTACTCTGCTTTGAGGATATTCCCTGTTTTGTGTCTCTGAGCTTTGGGGCCCTGTTGCCTGTCCAGTATCTCCACCTCTCCACTCCCTTCCACCTTCCAGGATATTTCCAAGTTTTTTCTTCAGCAACTCCTTTCCATCTCCCAAAGTATTTCCAGGTTGGCAGAGGACAGTGGCAATAGAACCTGCTCACCTGGTATGTTTGAGGTCATGGTTATTCAGTACCCCCTCTGGCCGTTGTTAGAATAGCACCATTTGAATGATGCTGTTCCACAACCCTTTAGGGTGCTGCCATTTTGAAATAGGCAAGGCTGAGTAGGGTTTGCAATTGGCTGTCACTGAGCTAAGGATGTATGCCAAGGTGAGCAAGGATAGGGACTGGGGAGGTAGCCCATCAAGGCTAGCCAACAGAGGGCTGAAACCCCCTAACTGCTGTTGCAGTATGCAGCCAAGAGGTGGGGGCATACACCTATTATTCAGGTCCAATGGGGCCTTCCCCCAAATCCATTTCTAGAACATGAACTTCAGACTTCCTTCCCTGGGCAGAGCTGTTAAAAATAAGTACTTAATTAGACCTAGTAAATGGTCTCATGAACGCCTACATACCGTCTCCCCTGGAAATGGCTATGCCTCCCCTCTTCAAAGCATCTCTAGTGTTTGCTAGTTCAAGCTCAGGAACGAAGATGCCTTTTACAGCACTGCAGAGAAAGGGTACCAGAGGAACATGGTCTTCCCATTCCCCCTTCCTCTCACTCATGCCTCCAGAAGCGCTCCCAGCTCCAAACCCATAATTCCACACGCACAGGGACCCCTGGAAATTGTGCCTAAAGGACCACACCGTTGCAGTCTGCCAGTCTAGCTGGCCCTACTCCCTGGAGTGCCATACAATGGAGACTGGGCTGTCATTTTGCAAGGCTTGCAAGGGCATTTGAGGGAAACTCCTCTGAGTGCTTTCCTGGCCTCGTGCCATGCTCAGAGGCGAAAATTAAAAATGAACTAGCAAAAGGTTCCAAACTCTCCCCTGCCCTTGAAGGCCCAGCTGAGGCCTGAAGGGCGTTGTCACAGGAGCAGCCTATGGCACCACAGGCTCTCGGTGTCCAGTGTTGACAGGCACTGCAGAGAGGAGGGAGCTACGGAGCCAAAGAACCAAAGATGCTTGGTGGGGATTTTGTATGTTTCTTCATCAGAGCCAAAGCCTACAAACACAGCTGCTGTGCCAACAGGAGCTGTTTGGGTAGGAAGCCTACCTAAAGCAAACTGCTCGAAGCTTTTGAGAGGGTGTGTGGCAGGGGACACTGGACTTGTTGGGATGACAGACTTTTAAAAAGATAAGACTCTCCCCTGAGTAGGGTTGCCAGATTTAGCAAATAAAATACAGAGTACCCATTTGAATTGTAGCTAAACAACAAATGACTTTTTTTTTTAGTGTAAGTATGTCCCATGTAATATTTGGGACATACTTATACTAAAAAAAAAAGTATTCCTTTTGATCTGAAATTCAAATTTAACTAGGAATCTTGTGTTTTATTTGGCAGCCCTAGTCCTGGGGAACAGAAATGGTCCGTTTAAAAAGCACTCCTTCTATCATCCCTTCCATTTTTGTGCACATCCTAGGGGGATGGAAGAAGGCCTCGGGAAAAGACCCTCTCAGACTGTCAGTTACCTGTTACTTTAAGAGAAAAACCAGGCCCTTTCCTGGCCGTTGTTTTTATTGTTAATGTCCTGTTTTATTGTCACTTCATTATTCACTTCCAAAAGCCTGATATCAGTGGAAAATTACTCCTCTTGAACGATAATCTTGGACACCGAAGACCATTCCCTCTGCTACCTTCCTGCCAGAAACCCCCATCGGTTGTCCTGGCTCGCCCCTGTTTTGTCCCTTCCCCTGTTTAATGAGGTTAATAAGTAACCTCTATGAAAACCCAGCTGGAGGAGACTTGCCTCAGATGATCTCTCCCTCACCTTTTATTTCCCCATTCCCCGGCCTCTGTGCTCTCTCATTACCTCCTCTGCCCTGTCTTTCAAGGGACAGTGACACTGGCTAATGTCAGCTGGATTCTCCTTCTACCTTCCATGTCGTAACAGGCTCTACTTATTTGTCTGTATGGGTTTTGGCTGAATAAATAAATAAATAAAATAAATAAATAAATAAATAAATAAAAGTTTTTCCCCTCCCTGGAAAGTTGCACGTTGGGTATTTGGCCCTTGCTGGCCAATCCACGGCCTTGGTTTAGTCAGATCACAGAATGTGCCCCTTGATCTGAACTTTATTCTGACTTAAATGATAATTGCACACGAAGCGCTGTTTTCTGATGGAGCTGATGAATTCTGAAGGCTTTTCTCTCCTTTATTCCCAGCAGACCCACTTCCTTTTCTCCCATCTTCCCAGTTTTCTCCCACCTGGCCATCCTCTCTGGGCTCCTTAAAAGACAAGAGAGAACAGCGGTAAACCGCACCCTGGCAACAAATCCTGGATCGTCATTTACGCTGCTCTTCCTGCACAACAGAACTTTCGAGCCTCCTTTCCTTCCGTTTTCACGGAGCCCAGACTAGAAGTTCTGGATAACTGGCCCTGGCATAGGTTTCCCTCCACCCGTGCTGCCTCTTCCCAAAGGGAAGCTGGACCTGGTGACTCCAAGAAATAGCAGTTCCAGAACGGCCCCAGGCGCCCTGCCCCTTGTGATACTGCTGTCTGGAGTTACCTGAGACCAGTCACACATCAGCTAAATGTCCTTTGGCCACTAGAAATCAGTGCATCCCATGGCAGGTTTGGCAGCACTGCCTGCTTGAGGCTGTCCAATAGTCAGCTGACAACAAAATAATAATATGCACCCCTGGCATCGCTGTCTAACCCAGAGAACCTACTTGTTCTTTCGTTTCTCTTCCCTGGAGCCCCTCATGTCCTTCCCTCAGATGGCTTGGAGGGAGAGGGAGATTGCTTTTGTCATATAAAGAGACAACCTTTGACTGTTACATGTCATTTTATGACCTTGGAGAAGGCCATAGATCGTTTGGAACTAGTTGGGTAGCAAGGCAAAAATTAATAGAAGGTAGTAGGATTTACCAATTCTTACGGTTAACTCGCTAGAACACAGGTTAGCAGTCTGTGGCCCTTGGGTCCAATCCGGCCCCCTACCTGCGTTTTGTAGTCAAGTTTTGATGAAACACAGCCAAACTAATTCGTTTACGTGTGATCTGTGGCTGCCTCCATGCTACAATGCAGAGAGGAGTTAATTGCACCAGAGACCATGTGGCCCACAAAGCCTCAAAGATGTACTTTACAGAAAGAGTTCGCCAACCCCAGCTATAGAACAATGATTCTCAGCCCTGGTTGCACACTAGAATCCCTTGGAGAGCATTTTTTAAATCCTGATGCCCGGTCAGCGTAGAACCCAGACATCTGCATGTTTTTAGAAAGCTCCCCAGGTGATTCTCAGGCACAGTGACAGTGCTTGTTAACACTCGTTGGACGTGAAAGGAATAAAGGCATCATGTCCGCTCTGCCATCTTCCTCCCCACACTCCCTCACGTGTGCGCTTATGCACATACATGTGTAACTGCTCACACACACACCTTGTCTGTTCCCTGCCCTACCCTGGGGGTGGCGGAGTTCTAGCTCTGGAATCCTGCCCCACCAGCCCAATGAGATACAAGTAACATCTGGGAGAGCTGATGTCAGCCCGTGGCCTAGAGCCGAAACCTGGCTTTGCTACAATTTCTCCTTTTTGACTCAGCATTGCCAGCTTTCCACAGGGTCTGTTGGGAGCGTTCTCCAGAGGGACTTGGAAGTTCTTTCCTGCCCCTACCCTCCTCCTCCTCTCAAGCCACTCCTGCTCCAGAAATGGGGCCCAGCCTGCCCTCCCACTGTCCAGCTGTTGTAACATGGCACAAGGTGACCCCACAAGAAGTGTGCTTTCTTGGGGCTTATGGCTTTTCTCTGAATAGTTCTCATTTTTCTCTAGTGACTTTTGCAACTTTTCCACCTCATGTTTTGCCATCCGGCTGCCTTGTCAGGCTCTTCCCATGACGGAGGACTAGGTGGCTTGCAGGGAAGGGGAAGACGAAAGATTAACTACCTGGGGCTTTGAGAGGGTTTTTTTTAAATGGCTAAATAAGCGCCTGTTTTCACACAGCACACCGTTCCGGAAGGCAAAAGCCTTGTACGCCTGCAAAGCTGAACACGACTCAGAGCTCTCGTTTACCGCGGGCACAGTCTTCGATAATGGTGAGTCGTCTCAGGCCCTTGCAAAGATGGGCCAAGGCCGGGGGGAGGGGGTAGCAAATAAATAACTGGAGTTTTCTAAGTTCCTGCCTACAGAAAATCTCAACAGAACAGGTAAGACTGAAAAAGCGTGTGTGTTTGTGTCTTTTCCCCAAACGAGGGAGCCCCAGCAGGCCATTGGGAGGCGCCATCAAATGTGACCAGGTGTCATCAGCCCTTCATGCTGACAGAGGCAGTCTCATCGCAGTGTGGTGGACATGAAATGCCATTTTGCCTGCATAGGACTCAGCCCAGCGCCTGGCAGTGGCTGGGCAAGTCTAGGAGACCAAGGACTTGAGGACAGGGATCCTAAGAGTGGTCAGCAGCTCACGGTGGAGATTGAAGCCGCAGGTTCTGTGACCCTTTCCTCTTGGGTTCCGTGGCACTCACTGTCCACAGCAGGCGAGGCCGAGTTCCGAGATGGCCGGGCATTAGGCGAGCTCCAGGCAGTCAGCCTCACTGCATCCCTGCTCGCCCTCCCCGTAACTGTTGGGAGAGTTGACTGCCCCAGAGCCAAACCACCCTGCTCACGTGTCCTGTGTGTCCATGGATTCGTGGCACTGGCCCCATAGAACTGGGAAGCAGTACTTGCTTAAGGCACCATTTTCATTCTTCTTTTTGTTTTCCTCCTTACAAAAAAATAGTCATAGGAATAGTTTTTAATTTAAAAATTGATATTGTAATTTGTTATACCTTATCATTTACCTAACAGGAAAATCAGGATTCTAAGGAAAAGCCCAAGTTCTTGTTAAAGCTGAGATTTTCCCCCAGATAAAGTTCTCTTTTGGGGCTGATCTTCCTGGCTTCCCGGGTGAAAGGGTCTGTTTGTTTTGCTCAAAGGAGGAAGCAAAAGCAGCTGCCTGCTTTCAGAAACTGGACATTTTCTGGGGTTCTCTTCTTGACCTCACATGGGGTGGGGGCAGAACTCCTGGGCAGGGGTGAGCATACATCGCTCCAGGGCTCCCTGTCATGGCCAGGCAGTCCACCTTGGCCCAGACCGTGCCACCTACCGCCTGCCCGAGACCCAGAAATACAAGGCCCCCAGGCTACCACAGCACGAGTCCCAGCTCCATCACTCGCTCCTGTGTGATCTCAGGCAGTGACTTAACCTCTCAGTACCTCAGTCCTCTCCTCTGTCATACAAAGATAACAGGGTTGTGAGAGAAAATTGAGATAGTGCACATCCCGTGTTTAAAATAGTACTCAACGCGTATTAAGCATTCAGTATGTCAGTGCTGTGCTTGTCAGTGTCGTCATTACATCCATCTTAGAAGAAGGCCCTGATGCTCTCATCGTTCACAGAGACAGTCTTTCCTGTTCAGCTGAGAAGGGCCCAGGCCTGGCTCTCAGCCCCTGGACTCCCTGGGCCGTGGATGTCTGTGAGGGCCCTGAGGTCCAAGCCAGGGCAGAGATGGGCTCCTGGGGGCCAGCCCTGATGGCATCCACATGTGTGCCCAGGCCCTGCATTCAGCATGGCAGAGATACTAATCGGGCATGGACAGACAGGATGGGAAGCTGGTTACGGAGCACTCGGGGGTTGCCCAAGTCACACTCAACCCTGGTCCTTCTGAGCCAGCGGGGTGGGGGTGAGCCCAGAACTACATGTGGCCTGCTGAGCCTGCGCCCTCTTTTATGGTTCTCAGAGCCCTCAAAGCACCATCCTTAAAGCTCCATTAACTTTCATTTGGGCCCTTTACAAGTCACAGCACACAAACCGCCGGTCCAGCCGCTTCTCCTGTCAGCAGCTAGAGCTTTCAGACCCCAATAGACCTCTGGAAGTGGGTCCTCTGAAGGCTGTCCAAAACGATGTCATTGGAGAGTGCACCCCAAATAAGCCCATGTCGGGGAGTCACAGCTCACTCATAACATGACACGGTTTCCACGCCACACAAACCAGAGTGGGCTGCGTGCAAGGGCTTCTGTGTCCTTGGTCAGCAGGAGGTGACTTCTGCCTAGAGGTGAGCAGGATGTGAGGGAGCCCCCTTTGCAGGTGAATTCAGTTTAAAGATCTGCCCTCTAAACCCCACTTCACTCTCCCGTGGGCAAGGCACTGCCATGTTCCTCTCAGCTGTTCACCCTGACAACACTAAGGACCCCGGTCCTGGGGGCAGAATTGGTTTAAGCTCTCAGAAGGTCTATGTATTCATGTATGTCTTGTCTGTTACTCCTTTTCCTAAGTGTAGCCTTCCAGTTTTTTTTAAACCACTTTATTAAGATACCCACATACCATACAGTTTACCCATTTACAATGTACAAGTCAGTGGTTTTTAGTGCATTCCTAGTTGTGCAACCATCACCACCATCTAATTCCAAAATGTCTTCATCACCCACAAAAGAAACCCAGTACAGTTTAGCAGTCACACCCCGTTTACCCCCAATTCTACCCCATCCAGCCTAGGCAACCACTAGTCTACTTTGTCACTACAAATTTGCCAGTTTTGGGTAATTTGTATAAATGGAATTGCACAGTATGTGGTCTTTGTAACTGGCGTCTCTTTCACTTAGCACATTTTCAAAGTTCATGTTTTATCACGCATCAGAATCGCATTCCTTTTCATTGCTAAATAATATTCCATTGTATGATTATCCCTTCATTAGCTGATGGACATTTTGAATATTTCCACTCTGGGGCTGATATGAGTAATACTGCCATCAACATCCGTGTACAAGTTTTTGTGAGGACCTGTATTTTCAGTTTGGGTGACATACCCAGGAGTGGGATTGCTAGTTCGTATGGTAACTCTATGTTTAACTGTTGAAGGAACCGCCAAACTGTTTTACCAAGGGGTTGCACCATTTTACATTCCGGCCTTCTGTTATTAAAGTCTCATTTTTTAAGTAGTTTAAGTAACTAACCACAAAAAGAAAGAAAAGACACCTCAGTAATTTTGAACTGCCAGCCCTTTGCTTCCCAGCAGGGTGTCCTGCCTGGCAGGTTCTGACTGCTCCCACCCCGCAACTTGGTAATCGTCATAAGTCCTATACTGACGAATGAGGACAGCAGAGAGGCGTGGCTTCATGAGTCAGAGGCATTACCCAAGTCTCCCTGTGGTCTCTGGGAGTCATGGCAGAGTTCATTGACACTAGTTTGTTTTTAATCAGCAATGCCAGTGACCTTTCAAATTCCCTGAACAGCAAAAGGCCAAATTAAGCTCAGAAGAAAACACCTCTCAATGTTGACTGAGCTGCAGGCGAAGGAGAGTCTGGCAAAATGTTAATCCACTGTTTACACTGGTTTGGCTGATAATATTTTATTATGTCCAATTTTTAGAAAATGCCACATATCCCTTATTTTCCCCTTCACCTTTGTAGGAGAAATCAAGCGTTAGAGGAGAAAGAAAAAACTGTTAACATGGTCAGCGGGGAGATCTTTTTCCTTGTTCTGTGTCTTGTTAGTGTATTGCTGGAGATATTAGGTAAGGGCTGTTTGAGTTGGATGCTCTGTAGCTGTCAGATGAGATCATCAGACCAATCAGAAGAAAGTTCCCTAGTGACACTGTTAGAGTGGAGTGTGTGAGTGCACGTGTTGTCTTTTCAGGGTCAAGAAGAATGAGTAAGGAGGAAGGATGAGGGAGGGGAACCTAGAGGGGAAAGTCTGCTGTTTCGTAATGGTTAACTTCCAAGCCCGTGGAGCCCAGGGGCCCGGGCGTGCTGCGAGCGTGCAGTGGCCGCCCTGTCAGCGTTTGGACTTTGTGCAGCGGGGATTGGATGTGCAATACTGGGAAATAACTCCAGTGTCAGCCTTTCCCAATCTACTGGGAAACTGTCCACTTCACCAAGAGCAAGTGCCTCCGACAGTAACTGGAAAGAGACATAGCTCATGTTCTCAGGAACGTTTAGTCATTGTGAAGCTGTGTGATTAGTGATACCTGGAAAATTCACGTGGCGTTCACGAAAATTGAGCTCTGGGAATACTTTTATCACGGTTGGAGGTGGGCTGGATCCATTCATTCTCAGGGCACAGGGTGCAGCATGAGGACAAAGCAGGAATGCCCCAGGTTTCTTTGCTCATAAAGAATGCTCTCACGTTGGGGGGCGGGGGCTGCTGAGCTGCATAGGCAATGGGGTTACTTACAGAGGAGAGCTTCACAGCGGAGGCCTTTCTGCCGCCCTAGCTATCTCTGCTGCGCAGACCAAGCCCAGAGAGCCTCCATCTCTCACCTGGGCGTTTCCACCAGCTGCCTAACTGGTCTTGTCACATCCACTCTGACCCCCATAACCCGTTCTCTACACAGCAGTCAGAGTGACCTTTGAAAAATGGAAATCATATCATGTTCTTCTCCTGCTTAAAATTCTCCAGGGGCCTCTGTTGCTTTAAGAATTATTGATGAGGACCTCCAGGGTCCCGCCCCTGCCCCTCTGCTGCCCTCTCACCCTCCCTCCATACTCAGGCAGCCTCACAGGCCTTCTTTATATTCCCAGAGGGGGTCAGCAAAACCGAGACCTGCCAGTCAAATCCAGCCCACTGCCGTTTTCATAAATAAAGCTTTGCTGGAACACAGCCACACCGTTTTGTTTACATATTGATGACATGATGGTGGCAGAGTTGAGACACCTATTTACTGCCTGGCTCTTTAAGAAAAATTTGCAGACTACTGTTCTAAATTCACACCATCTTTAGCTGTTCCCCACCTTCAAACCGTTGCACTTGCATCATCCGCTGCCCAGTGGCTCCTTTGGATCGTGTAGGTTTTAGCCTGTCAAACTCCCTCCACCCACCCACCCACATCCCCATCCCAGTCTCTCTGTCCCCCACAACTCTACCTATGCTTAGCTGTTATAGATTATTCCTCCCTGAAAGCAAAATCTTGTCTGCTTGCTCTGTACTGTGTGCAGGGACATAGCCCAGTGTCTGGCACATGGTAGGTGCTTAATGCACATTGGCTAAATGAGTCAATGCATTCGAACTGCACAGGGGTCTGTGCCTCTTCCAGTCAGTGCTGACTGCTTCCCCTTGGGGCAGCCAGCCATTAGAGACCTCAGCCACACACTTGCTCCTTGTCCACAGCGAGCGAAAGAGGAGAGAGCATGAGTTGTGTCTGCAGGGGTGTGTGGTGTATGTATGGACAGAGCTGAGAGAAAGTGGTTGGCAGGAAGCACGCCTGTGTCAGCCGCAGCTTATATTTATTATATGCTTGCCGAGCTGGAGAGCTGCCCAGGCAGCTTGCTGCAGCACCTTGTGTGTTTATATAGCACATTGGACACTGGTGCAATTCAGAAGGGTGGACATTGGCTCGATTCAGCCCAACAAGCACTTATGAGCATCTTCAAGGTCCAAAGCATTGGGCTAGGCAAAAGTGGTCATGGTTAAGACCGCTTCTAACCATGGTCAGACATCCTGGATCCGGATTCACCTCCATCATCTACCAGCTGTGTAATTGAGGGGAAGATGCTTAACCTCTCTGAGTCTGTCTCTTATCAGTAAAAGGATAATAGAGCCAACCCCATAGTCATTCTGAAAACGAAAGGAGGTGATGCAAAGAACTTAGCAAAAGACCTACCACTTGGTATGTGCATATGTATCACCATTCTTATCTGGAGGGGGGGGGTTGGAAGGGTGCGGGGGGGGTACATTCTCTGCTTGGATTAGAGGTATAATGTAGTGGGAAAGGGCTCTGGCTCTGGAGTCAGGCAAGCTGGGTTCAAACTCTCTGTTCTACCATTGTGACCTTGCACAAATTAATGTACTCTGTGAGACTTCATCTTCTCACCTGTGAAATAGGGATGATAATATGATCTTCAGGAACAAATGAGTCAATATACATCTAAGTCTCTGAGCCCGTGGCTGCTTCCCAGCCACCATTTCTAGGTGTTGGCTTCTGTCCTTATAATTCACCAGGCAGAGGGGAGGAGTGAAGAATGTTGCATGATATAATGCTGGTTAGGGAAGCAAAGCTTAACACATTTGAGCAGCATTAATAGATGCAAGAATAAGTGGAATGTCCCATGAGCTTTCCAGAAGTCTGGAGAAGGGAGGGGGCAGGTAGATGGGACTCCTGATGGGACTCGATATTTATGGAGGGGTTTCAGCTAAGCCTTGAAGTGTGAGGACAGGAAACAAGACAACAGAAAGTGGGGGGCGGGGGAGGGGGTGCATCTGGTGCTGCCTCCATCCTCCATCAGCTAGTGAGAATTTGTATTTTAATTCTTAGTACCACCCTCATCACAGAGGTATTTTGGCATAGGAAAGTCGGCTTTCTTAACTTTATGTGAACAAGTTAACTTTATGTGAACAAGTTAAAATACAGATCCCTGGGCCCCCCTCCTAGAGATTCTGCTTTAAGTGATGTGCCATGGGGCCCAGGAGACTGAAGTTTTGATAAGCATCCAGGTGGGTACCACACCTTGATAAAGCCCGACTTGAAGGCGCCAGTGAGTCAGCATTGCTCTAAGGCTGCATTGCCCCCTGTTGACACATGTCTTCTTTCATCTCTTCTTCTCCAGTTTGGAGGGCCTCCTTTGTCCCCACTGATTCCCTTACTCTGCAAATTCCATTTCTGATTGCAGACTTGACCACCTCAGCACCTGAGCTGTGTTTGAACAGCTGGCCAGGAAGGGAAAATGCCTGAAGACGTAGACCCCAATGTAGCCAGTGGAGAAACAACTCCACCAGCTGCTTTGCTGGAAGGTGGGAGGGGCCTTTTTCTATTCTATGTTTTGTTTGATTGGTGGGTTATTCTTTCTAGGTCTTTCTATTTTGGAGAGTGAGCTTGGTCTGTTTGGGTTCTGAACATGTGAGGTGGGTGTTCCTCTCAGGCTCTTACCCAGGTTTTACCAGGAGAGCATCTTGCTGACCAGTTCAAGTGAATGGTCAAATGCCGCAGGGCCCCCTACTGACAGCCTATACTGAGCATCTGCCGTGTCCTGACTCTGTGCTGAGTGCTTTCACCACGTTGGCTCCTTCCTAATAACACAAGAGCCCACTGAGGGGGAGAGAGTTTTATTGTTACCACTTTAATAGGTGCAGACACTAGAAATGGCCTTGGCAGTGTCAGCTGGATGGATAGGCAGAAGGCAAAGGTATTTGGATACTAGTATTATGGCGCCAGGATTGGAGAGCTTGGTCATTGCAGAAGTGCGGCTACTTTTAAGTTGTGTGTGTTCTTCTACAGCACTTCGCTTCTGGGCTCCTTATGTGGGTGTCATGAATGCAGAGTACCCTTGCTCCTTTGGGTTGATTCCTGAAGCCTAGTGATATGAAATTATGCACGCATTTTGGAGGCCAACTAACTGCTGTTTGACCTTGTCTTTTCCTACAGAGGCATTCACACTCTGGACAAGGTTGACTGTGACCTTCCGCACGCTTCAGTGCGTGTCCTGCTCCTCCCCATTTGCTCCCGTTCTTGCTTCTTTCTCTACAAACTGAAACTAGACTTATATAGTAGTCTTGGGGGCGGAAATGCTTTTCTAAAACAAGCTCAGGAAGTCACTTAATTAGCCTAGGAAGGGAATAGGGGAAAAATTCATTCTCTCCAAACAATCTCAGAAAATTAGAGTTTCCCTAATCCGTTAGGAGCAGATGCCCAGCCTCACCCACGAGTGATTTGTACATTCCCAGTTCACAAGCACGAACACCCCCATCTCCAAGTCCCTCAGTTCCTCCTTCCTTCCTGCTTTAACTGCTTTGCAGACTCAGCTGGATTTTATGTAATCTTTGCAATATCACCGTAGTTTCCATGGAGATGGGGTATGATGTCATAGAAATGGGTATATATTTGGATATTGAAAAATCAAAGGGGCAGAAATTTTGAAAGTTGCAATACAGGAAGAGGACAGCTTGCAGACCTGTATACAGGAGAGAGGAAAATTCTAGCGAACAGGAAAGACAGCTAAGAAAGATTATATGGTTGGAACAGAGAGAGGGGTATTCAAAGACTATAAAATACAAAAACAAAAGCAAAACAAAACCCACAGGAGGAATTTGGAAGGAAATTAGAAACAGAGGGTAAAGATTTGAAGGCAAGTGAAATGCATGGTTAAGAGCAAGGTATCTGTAAAGATGAGCTCTCAGCATCTGCCACGGGCACTGCCCTTGGTACATAGTCAGGTCTGGGTAGGTAGATGGGTACGTGGTAGATGGTTAGATGCACAGATAAGTATACAGATGGAGCACCATAAGTGTGACCTCTAACCTAAAAGGTAGAAATCTGTCACTTCTTTATAGTTTAAACCAGGAACTTCAGAAAGTCTCTGAAACTCCTAAAACTGTTTGCAAAATTTTGAATGTCTGTGTCTGTTCCCATTTTTGTTGTGAAGAAAGTTCAGAATAGCCTTCATCAGGCTTATATACCACAAAAGGTTAAGAAGCCCTGGTTTAAACAAGTCCTAGCATTATGTAACTTCATGAGCTATCGCCCTCACTCTCCACACTTCCTTCACACGTACACATACACGCACACAGCACATATCCTCCTCCTCCCCTATCTGTAACGTCATCTTTTCTTATCCTCTCTCTCCTTCCTGTACAGTTCATCCATCTCAGGAGCCTGGCTGGCTGGAGGGGACTCTGAACGGAAAGACTGGCCTCATCCCCGAGAACTACGTGGAGTTCCTCTAACCATGGGCCCCAGCAGAGACACTGCGCTTTCCATGGTATCCATGACAACTGCTGAGTCCAGTGGTGTAGGTCGTTTCTCTTGGCTGCTGAGAAATGCAGGGTGGATGGCTCTGCTGCTACCTGTCATCACAAATGTGTCTGTGAATTTTGGTGTCGCCATCGCCACGATCATCTCAGCTGACATGTGGTGATACTGCAAGCAACAAGGAAATCAGCAGAGGAGGCCATTTGATTTTGATAACCGAGAGGAAGGCTTGTAAAGCTGTTTGTCTCATTCAGCACCCTCAGTGGGGCGCACTCATTTTGTTTCAACAGTCATCCAAACTCCCAGCCTTCTGACAGAGGAAGTAAGTAAGATCTAAGTAGACCCCAAGAGCATGCAGTGCAGCTGAGCCTACAGGGCTGGGCAACAGCTCTGAGATACTGGCTTGGTCCATTGCTTCTGTTTACAGCAGACACTCTAACCCACCTCTAAGTACTTGAGACCCACAGTGCTCCAGGCAGCTGGGTCTGTTTGCATGCAGGGTGGAAAGGGGTTACGGCACTGTTTACGTAAGATCCAATCTCTCACCATCTCTAAAGCAGCCGTTGGCCCAGCATCAGCAGAATTCAGTCCACTCCTCTCATGCAAGGGAACATGCACACCCCACGTGCCCCCTCCTCCCCTCCCCCCAGGCTAGGAACTTCTCTGCCACCGGGGGCTGCCATCACCTCATAACCACGGCAACCCAACCTACTGTAAAATCAAACTAAAAAATAACACCCTGTCTTTGCATGACATTTTTCTTTCCTCCCCCATTTTGGGTAGTATTTTGAATGGCTTTCCAACAACCTGAAGCAGATCAAGAAATCACAGTGGGCTGGGGGCAGACAGAAGAGCAGCTGGGAACTGTTTCCTTTGTGATTTATTTCAGCAGCATCAGGATCTATTTGGAGCAAACTCGAGTAACCTCGAGATTTAATTACATACAGGCTTAATATTTCTGTTCTTCCGTGCAACTGGTGTTTGCTTTCTAGAGGGCAGTGGGCTGCCTACCAGTGAGTGACATTCTCCCTTTTTCTGACTCCTTCCCTAATGGCCTCCCATTTACGCGTCCCTTACCCCGCCCTTGCCTCCCTCTAGCCCATCACTGACCAGCCCCTGGAAGTGCCCCGGGCTCTGAGCACTGGTGCCCTGGCGATTTCCAGGGCTGATTCCTAGATTAACCCGATGGCCTATGATTTAAAAGGACATACGTGTATGTTCACTGCCACTCAGAGAAAGGGAATTGTTTCTGAGACGTTTGAGGCATGAGACTGATATCATGAGCCACTGCAATTCAGAAGGACACCAAAAGATTGCGGCGTGGAAGGTGGGATGGGTACCTATTGATAAAGAGGATTTCGCAGTCCAGCAGGGGCTCGGTCTGGTGGAATGCTGCCTTGGACCGGCCTGGACGTTTCAAATTCTGGTCTCCAAAGACCAGCGTTCGCTGGAATCCTCCACATTTGAATGTCCTCGCGAGAGTGACTCTGGGCAGAAAAACTCCACGCTGACAGACTGTTGAGCTCCCCAGGAGCCCCTCGGGATGGCAGCCACACTGCTGCGGAGCGTTTCCTGCTTCTGGAATTCCTCTTTGGGGAAGTTTAAAGAAGAAAAGAAAAACTTGAATTGTGTTGAATTACTGTATCTTTTACATTTTTTTTTGAAAAGATAAACTTGTAAATAGAGTGATTTGAAATACTATATGGCAAAGTTTTATATTTGATATTCTTAAAGCTACTTGCTCCACACACTGAAGCTTCCACTGCTGAACAAGTGTGAGTAAGAGGGAGAGGGCGGAGGTGCGGCCGGAGAGAGGGGAGGCCATCCCTCCCTGGCCTTGAGGAAGGAGATGCTTCTGCACTCTCTGCTGGTGCTTGTTGGTGTTCAGTCTTCTTTATCCAGATGTGTTTTTGAGCATTTTCTTGGGCTTTGTGTTTGGAGATGGAAAGAGCATCTTCAGGCAAAGAAGTTTTCAAAGGACTCCTACTCAGTGGTGAGATGAAGCTCAGGATTTAAATAGGTGGGGAAGGGCTTAGGCGTTTTGGTTTTGGTTTTGTTTTATTTTGGTTTTTGTTTCTGGTTTTGTTTTGTTTTGATTTTTTCATTTTTCTTCTCAGGTATATTTCTTGGTACCACAAGATATCAGGACAGAAGGAGATAGGCTAATTGCGTGTTTCTTATATCTGGCTCTTCTGCACGTCTTCTATGACTTGATAAAGGAGGCCAAGCTCATTTGCAAATGTTGCGTGTGTCTGAGTTCTGAGAAAACCTTTTAGTTCTCAAAATGCTGTTGCTCCTCCTTTCCCTAAACGTGTTTATGCCCTTCCTGTTCTTCTCAGAGTCCCTATAACCCCAAATGAGAGAAAAACTCCAAAGAGGAATGGGTCTTATGCAGTGAGAGCTTTATAGATGGTTTTACCGTTAACAGGAGTGTGTCATTGTGATTCAGTTCGTCAGCTAAAGGATTACGTAGCTATTACCCAGCAACAGTCAAGACGCTACCACTGAATCAGGAAACAAGAATTAAGACTGCATGAGACCAAGATAGGACTCAGGAGAGCTATCATTGAAAAACCCAAGAAGAAAGGGAACATAGGAACAGGCTACACCTGTGCCCCATGGACTTTGAACAGCGTGGGGACCTGTGCGAAGGGGCCCAGGTGACAAGCACCCTCTAGAGCACTGTGCTTTCCAAATAGGAAGTGTGCAACATAATGCGTTTTAACACATTTGACATTTTAAATTGTCACCGGCCCCACTGGAACGTTAGCTCGAGCTGACACGGAGGAGCAGAAGGTACAGACCCGGCTTTGGGAGTTCCTCACTGAAGTTAGACCTGTCAACATTTGGCCCCAGCTTGACCACTTGGAAGCATGTCCCTGCCTCCCTCAGTTGGCCCTGATTGGAAGCCAGAGGGAAAAGGAGCTACTGCCAATGGGAATTTTTAGGTCGACCCCTTCCCAGCTCCCCCGTGGCCATGCTGAGCTGATGGCAGATGGCTGCCCTGCTCTCTCTCCCCATCCAGGCTTACCTCCTCCCCATTTGCTACAGAACTGGAGAAACCGTTCAGACTATGAGCCAACAAATAGGAAGGAATTTGGAGACTAACAGTAGATTGTACCCTCTCCACTATGTATGCCGCCATCCCTTACGTTCTCTGCTTGAATAGGGAACTTGGGAGCAGATTCGGGGAGTGATCCAGGTATGAGAGTGGAAGACTATTGACCGAGGTTCCTGAGCTGTCCCAGGAGCCGTGCCTCTTTGATTAGGCCCTGGGACCTGCCTGGTATTCAGAGCCTGAGTCTTTTTCGGGTGTTGAGATCAGTCTCTCACTCTCCCTTCATGTACTCAGAGAACTCTATGGCTGCAGGATGCAATGTCATAAGAAGACAACTAGTTTCAGATCCTTGCCCCCCAGGCAAAGTATATTCCCGATTTGCTCAAGGTTAGGGATAGTCTCTTCTGTTTTCAAAAATAAACATATAGGGCCCCCTGTGTAGTACCACCTCCCTCAGTATCCTATAATCGGGGCCAGTTTTTAGCTTAGTATTTTAGTATTTCGACAGCCAGTATATGTTTTCTTCTGTCAAACCAAAACTCTTTTTCAACATAATTCCAGTTCAGCCCTCTTTGCTGAGTGTTTTTTGGACAGAGACAAAGAGAAAGGGAACATGAGCAGTCGCGCATTGACAGACTGGCATTAGCAGGACAGAGCCACGCCAGTGACAAGGTCATTCCAGGCATTTGTCAGGACTCCACGGTTGTGTGTGCCATATCTAGCTCGAAAGCAAGTCCACCTACCCACCTGCATTTTTATCTCCTGGAAACAGCAGCCTCAGTCGCACCAAAAGTTCTGTCTTGATTACAGTGACTCTCAAAGCATCCATGATTGAGGGGTAGGGAGACAGAACTAATCAGCTCACTGTACCTCGATCACCGATTTGTGACTGTCTCTTGGCACCTTTCATCCTCGGGCTTCTGTTTCCAAAAGGAAGTCTGGAGCACCTAGACTTAAGGACCCAGGACTCCCAGGCACAGCACTGGCCATCATGGCACCCACAGTGTGCCCTAGCATTCAGTGTTTTTGAGCAGCCATCTTACCCACGTAGGGAGCCAGCACTGAAGAAACCAAACAGCCTCGTAGCCACCTGACTTTTAAAGGAGTGTCCTAGGTATTCTAGCTCGGCAAAGGTTATCTATCATCTCTGGCAGACTTGACAGTAATCAATTACCTAGTAGACAGCCCTGCCCCACACTTCTCCTAAGTCAACTGGGTGTCCTCTCACACACCCTGTGCTGGTGTTTAAAAAATTTATCTTGTGCTCAGATGTGTTTGGCAGCCACCCTGATCCGCCGGGTGCTGAACCACTTCTCTGTAATTGTAGCATGAAAATAACAACAGTGGCAGAGCAGTGAACCTTGCACAATTCCACAGCATGCCCGAGACAATGCTCCAACAAGTAATCATTAGCTCCGTTCTTTATACCGCCTAGAGTACCTGTCTAACTAAAGAGCTCCCCAAAGCAGAGGGAGAGGCCATAGAGAGAACCCAGACGTCATTCAGAGCCAGCCCTTGCTGAAATGTGGTCTGCTACTGGAAGCACATGTATTCTTGGGAGAAATGGTATTGCCAGGAGTTTATATAGTGATGCTGGGAGCAGAGAGAAAGTAAAAAGCCATCCGTACTGAAGAACTTTGAATTTTTTTTTTAAAAGAGATAAATATAGCTCTTAATGGGGGGTGGAATCTATCACAAAAAAAGGTTCACCACTAATATTTTTACACAAGTTTTACAGGATACGACGCCATGGAAGCATCTTTTAAGGTGGAATGTTTTAGAGAGCCAAGGCTTGGCACCATCCTAGACCCATGCAAGGGTAGCAATGATTCATGTGTCAAAATTCTCTTCAGTATAGTCGGTGAGAACCAGAGTATTGATCATCAAAATGTCAGAATTACCTGGAGCAGTCCTGGAGAGGCCGAGCCAGTCCACAGCAACCATTTCTGCAAAGTTGTCCGGACACCTATGAACAGCTTTCTTGGGTATCCAGATGCCAGGGTCAACCTTGTACTTGTGACAAGAGGTTCATCTGATGATGCTATTAGTATGTGTATGTACAGTGCCCATTTATATATGTGAAGATATGGACTCATATAGAAACCCACATAAGCTGGCAGTCGCTGAGCCTTCACAGCCTATAAGATTGGAAGGTTGGCAATTTGACAAACGAGAGAGGCTGTTGATTGACTATCGAAATGATCAAAGATGTAAATTAAGTGCCATTTTAAAACTTTGTTCATATTTATCAAATGGTTACTATCTACAGCTATATTCCATATTAACTTATTAAAAGTCATGTTGAAAAAAAGATCAAACTCATAAATGTTTAGTAGCTAATATAAATGCTAGGCTAGTGTTAAAAGGCACTCTAAAAAGACATTTTGTCCATATTTGAAGGGAAGAAAATATTTGCATGTTTAATTCATAATTTAGGCTTCCTTTGAGTATATTATAAAGTGCTGTGTGATATAATATCAATAAAGTACTTAAAAATGGCACTTTAATGTTTTTTTTTAAAATTGTAAGGAATGCACTGTTTTAAACTTCAGTATTGAATATTGACTAGTATGTAGAATCCAATTCCGTGATTAAAAAGGAATCTGTGACTAGACTAGAACTTTCTCCCTGTTATTAGTGAAACACTTTTGCCATATTCAAGCTTTAAAAAAAAAAAATGTGCTTTTGCATCACTAAGCATATCTGTAAAGAAAATACTGCTTCTGTTGCGCGGCCACAGAAACTTGGCTTTCTTACATTTGGTTGGTTTATGTGACAATCCCTGTAAAAATGAGTGGAAGTATGATTTTTTAATTAAATGACTTTTCCATTTGGTGGTATGCTTGTTTCTTACGTTTCTGATAAAGTTTTGACACGATGCTTATTTTAATGTATATCTTCAAATCAGCGAAGACCGTGATCAGAGGTGACAAGTCTGGGCTCCTGTGATTACTGGTGACACCTGCAGTGCTGATTTCTGATGTAGTCCGAGGAGCTTTGGTTTCCTTTTGGAAGAGGTCAAATGCTCGTGAACTTGAGGAGAAGCTCTCAAGCATCTTAAACAATTAAGCCCCAGAGTCATACTCCAATGAATGTTTCTGACTTTATCTCCTAGCACACACACTGTTGTATTCTTCCTAAATTTGAGTTTCTAATCACCCATTTTCTGGAACTTCATTGACATGGTGTGGAATCATCCAAGAGCCAGAACATAGGCAGCCCCACCAGCTGGGCGTGTCCCTCAGGTTTGTAAACCGGTCACTTGTTTATGGGCTGTCCCAGGCCAGTTCATATTTTTGAGTCTTCCTTCATCCTATCCCCTCCAGGTAGTTCTGATTTGCCGCCTGGACCCCAGGTATACAGTTAGCTCCTGGCTTTTGCAGCAAGAGCAGAGGGCTTGGGAGGAGAGGGTAGGGGAACCAGAGCTCTGGGGATCGAGGGCGAGGCTTCTAGACCCAGATGCTTGTCCTAAGGGAGCAGGAGAGTGAATCCCCCTGTGGGTTGCTTCTGAGGGGTGGGTCACGTGTAAGCCGTTCATACTGTCAGCTGTCACTTAACAAAGCACTGGTTTACCCCTGTGAACAGCACTGACTCAGCACCTGCTGCCTTCTACCAAGCTTGCACCCTGCTCTGGAAAATTCTCCCAGCCTCTGAAGCCTCATCCATACATGAGGCCACAAGGTACCTAGGTGAGTGAGACCTGCACGGCCCATCGTGTGGAGAATGAAATCTGCGGTATGTATTTGGATGTTTTTTATGCCTTGGCCTTTCCAGTCACTTCAACATTCACGTTTTCTTAACAGAAAAGATTTCCGTTTTCATTTTACTTTTAGCAGTCACTCAGAGTAGAGCTCAAATTGTGCCACGTCTGGTGGTTTGTTTGGTGGTTTTCACTCGTTTGTTCTGGCTTTATGATTGGTCATAAGAGCACCTTGGTTAGAATGGACTTGATGGACACTTGAAAGTAGGTAAATGAAAGATTTTCTCAGACCCCCAAACACATTTGCTCTCTTAGGAATTAAATCAGGGCTTTAATTCCTTCTTTTCTTGGCTCTTGCTCAACCTCCACTCAGATACACGTCTCTCCTCCCCAAATGTGTCAGTGTCATTGGCTTGCGGTGCTTTCAATAGCACTAAGCTAAGTTGCAGCTAATTAACTCTGTTGGGTTAGTCAGGATCGCCTGAGTCCAGCCTGCACAGCAACTGAGGGAGCCTCTAACCAGCACAGTAACTGCTGGGGGGGGGGGCGGGGGGGGGCCCAACCAGGGCCATATCCTTCAGAATGCCAGCCACCCAGTCAGTGTCAGGCAATGGGGACCAAAGCAGGAAGGCTTTAGGTTGAAATGATGAAAACCTCGGCCCACTGTTATCCCACAGCCCTTAGCAACACCTCTCACACCGTGTATCTGTGAAGCCTCTTATGTAATTGACCCCAGGAGGCCAGCCCCAGCTTCCCTGCTTAAACCCAGCTAGCTAATACGCTTTTCCAAGGCCACCCAGCACATTTTTCAAGACTTGAATTCATGGGTCCTTTCTCTAGATACCAAATAACATTTTATCCTCCGGCCCTGTGCCCAGCTTCAAATGAAAATTTTTGCTCTGACACTGGCTGTATGTCCTTTTGCATTTTTTTTGTTAGATGATTAAAAAGACCTTTTTAAAATTATTCGCTTTGAGGGGAGGAGCTCTTCTGAACCTTTTTATCTATGAAAAAGAAGCGGGGTGCTCATAGTAGAGTCTTCTGCGTTAGATGAAGGAATGCCAGTTAAGAGTAGCCGTCTTTCTAGTCTCACCTTTTCTCCTCGTCACATCATTTCGCCCTTCGTAGTACTTTCTACCCATAATTCATTATTTGTCGTAAAATATTTGGTGCCTGTTTTTCTCTTAGTAAACATCTCAGTAAGGACAGAGACCAGGTCTCGTTGACCCGGTCCCCCCAGCACCCAGCCCAGGGTCTGGTACACAGCACGTGCCCACTCGCACCTGGATGGGCTGGCCAAGTGAAAGAAATCAGATGAAGTGGTGCTCTAGACTGTCGCCCCTCCTTTCTGTTGTACTCGAAAGTTCTGGTTGAAAGAAAGAAATCGGGTGTCATTAGACTTGAATCCTTGAACACGAGGCGACTTCATTACACTGGGCAGGCTATTCTACTTGCCCACGTCCCTGGGTTTTAGGCTTGTTGGGCAGACATCCACCCTCCGTTCAGGCACACACAGCCACATTCCTTCCCAGCCTCCTCGCCAGTGCTTGGCGCAGGAAACTGTCCGGATAACCTGCTGACCAAGAGCCCAGAGACCCTTTGCTGTCATCTGAATTCCTTACAGGTTATTTTACTGACTTTGTATCAGGCTGGGGGACTGCCTTCAAGCAAACCCACGTCAGAATCAACCCAAAATAAAAAGTATCCTTTTTTTTTTTTTTTTTTTTAATGATCCTTAAAGGAAATTCCACGCTGTCCCATGGGGACTTGGTCTGGTATCTAACACTCTCGCTAAGGGAATTCTTTGTGTCGCACTGAAGTTTCCCATGATGGAGCTTAAGTCCGTTTCCTTTCTGTTTTTCCTTAGAGTGGCGAACAACCGGCCATCATCTTTTTAGAGCAGTCACTCTCCATTTTCATGCTTCCATTCAGCCAACACTTGTTGACCACCTCTTGGGTCCTGGGAGCTGCTAAAACCAGGAGGTATAAGACAGGCTGTCTGTCCTCGGGGAACTCACAGCTGTCCTGGGGATAGGCAAGTATGTAAGAAACAGCATTTGCCATGTGGCACGGCGACCCTTGCAGCGCGTAGCAGGTAGGCTCAGGCTCCGAGGAAGGGCCATCCTTTCAATTTGGGAGGCAGGTACCAGAGGCAGCTTCACAGAAGTGACAGTGGAGATGATTCTCAAAAGATGGAGAGAAGTTTGCCACTTAGATGAAAGGAAAGGTGTCCCAAGCATAAAGACAGCAAGGACACAGGTGTGAAGGGGACAGAGAGAAACAGAGAGGTGCGTTCAGTGTGATGGGAGCAGGAGGAGATAAAGGCGTCTGGAGAATCATAAACTATTCACCCTCACCCACCCCCGACTCAGCTTTCAGGCTTCCGTTTTCTCTCAATGACCGACAATACCAGCTAACATTTATTACCGCCTTACCAGGCAGTAACTCACAGAGTCCTTAAAACATGTGAGTGAAGTGCTATAATTACCCCCATTTTATACAGGAGGAGATGAAGGATAGGGGAAGTCACATAAGCTAGGAAGTGGTGAAACTAGAATTCCAGCTTAGGTCTGTCTGCTTCTAGAGCCCATACGCTCGTAAGCTTTTTATTTCTTTATAGAAACACACACATGATTTGACATCAATGCATAAACACTTTTTAATCGGGTGGAAGTTTCTCCTCGTTTTTTACTTGGCTCTTCCATCCCCCACGTCAGCCTCCTTCCATCTTGGAGTCCGTGTGAGAAGCCTCATGATGCTCTTTTTAGCAGCGAGCCCTTCAGAACGCACCATCTAGGCAAACGGTCAGCTTTGGCTTCGCAGTGGCTAGAATAAGAGCAGGGTATGTTTTGATGAAACACTTTGTTTCCTCCTAGGAGCCCTTTGCTCGCTCATCTTGAGTGACTAGTTCCCCATTTCTGGAGCTCAGTGCAGACACCCCTGGTTCTCTGGGCAGCCTTAGGGACCCCAGCTGCAATCTTTGGCCAGTTCCATCATCCTTGAGGACAAGGCAAGGAGGCAGCCCCTGCCAAGGGCCCAGCCATGTTGTGCTGGCTGAAAAGATGTAATGTGCACATTTTTAACAATTTGAAAACGGCCCCTCTCCCCACCCCGATGCAGCTGCCGACATCAGAGCTTCAGGCTCGCACGTGATTGCCAGGAAAATCCCAGGGGCGTGTGTCTTCTTGTGGGAGAGTCAGTGCTTCTAGCCTAATGTGCTGATGCTCAGACATAGAGAATTTTCTTGGCATAGTAACCCCCTCTTGAGCCTAATGAGATTTGAAAAAGAGCTAGAGGAGAGAGCTTGAGAACTCAAAGCAGGTGATGAGTGAGTACATGTAGGACACAGAAAGCGTCAGACTTCCACTCAGGCCTGCTTACAGAGTGAGACTCACCCAGGTGTGTGTAGAGGGGTGGGGGGGGAGGGGGCGGGATGCTGAACTGTTGCATGTCCAGATGACAATAACAAAGTAATTCTCATTTATGGAGCATTTGCATTGTACTGATCGCTTTACATGCAATCATCATCTCATTTAATTCTCAAATCAACCCTATGCAGTAGGTACTATTGTTACTCTATTCTGCAGATGAGGAAGCCAAGTATTAGACTGGGTACCCTGCTCAAAGTCAGTGAGCTAATAAGTATCAGAGCAGAGATTCGACCCCAGCAGGTCGACACCAGAGGTTCTACTCTTAACCCTCGAACTATCCCCATGCTGGGGAATGTCTCAGAAGCTCCAACCTTCAAATGCCCTTCACTTCCTTCACCCCTAGAGAATATTTGTTGGTTTTGCCTGTTGGGCATCCAGTACCCCACCTTCTGGTAACAGCTCCTCGGTTTTTCTTTGGGGAAGCCCTCCCTTCCCTACCCTCAGGTTCCATGGGTTTGGGTGAGCTGACATCAACCTTGATCCAGTGGTGAACCTGTGGCTCTGCTGTGGCCTATGAGATCATCAAATCCACACAAAGTGATCGGTGGTTTGGGAATGGGTACAGGGCCAGGTTAAACCCACAGTGCCAGGGCTTTGTCCTGGGACAAGGTATACAGGTGACAGCGGGGGGATTCACAGGGTAAGGGAAGCGTGGTCAGTGCCGCCCCCCGCCTCCACCCTCCAAGGACTTCTCAGCATGAGCT